AGGAGCTAAACTATTATGTTTAAACCTGGTTTAATATACTGTTTCCGGCTTTCAAGTTCCAGTTTCCAGGACCAGTTTGGTTGCCAAATAAACTTGGCGAAACCGATGTAGGTACTGAAACAAACTTGAAAGCTTAAAGTTGACTGGATATCTTGCGGATGATTAACTTTATGTTGTTTTAAATATATAGAATGGTTGGTTGTATGTTGGTGTAGTTTAAATTTAACAATAAAAGGGAATGACCTCTGAGTTTAAAAGTGCCATTTTATGGCCTATTTGCAAAAATAAATTCATTGTTTCATTGTTTCAATAACGTACTTTTATTTGTCACAAACAATATTTGATTTCACAATACAGAACTATTCAACTATAATTATTATACTTTCATTTATTGATTTGACTATAAATAATTTGACATTGTGGATTTTGTCCAGTTAAAGTTAATTCTGAGCATTCAGATATAATTATGCTATTTGACTTAAAAATATTTTTAGCATTTCAGTAAAAGAATTGAATTAAGTAGCTATGTAGTTGAAAAATAGAACAGTTCTATCATAACATCTACTATTTGTTTCCCAATTTTAAGTGTGGGAGAATCGTACATCGGCACTAGTAGACAAGACCGAAGCTGATACCTTAGCCTCACAGAAAAAGGGCTTGAGACACCGCTTACTTCGTATTTCATCGTGTGAGTGCGGTTACCGGTGGCCTCCTCTATCCTAAATTCCTCAAAATACTTGTAACTCCTTTGATATGGTGTCCAAGGGCGGCGCTGATTGCTTTTTTATGGGATAGGTCGTCAAACGAGCAGGCGGGTAACTCCTTAGCAAGCAAACGGCGCCGCCCCTGGACACGCATGATATCAAGGATGCTTTACTATCAGCACCATGCTTAACCTAGTCTAATAAAATGTTCTGATTAATGTAAACTACAAACGTAAAAATCCCTCTTACTTACTATTTACAGTATTTTCAGTTAAGTAATTTATTTTGTCAGTAAATACAAGCAGTCGGTAGCAAGTTACTTCAAAACATGACCCTATTCCTTAGTAAAGATTAAAGATTGTTGTCTTATCTCGTTAAAATACAGTTCCCGTTAAGCTGTCACCAAAATATTTACCTACTAAACATTTGTTTTCGTTAAAAAATGTCTTTGTATGTTCATAAATAGCGAGTTAATTGAAAGGGTCCGTTAATCGTTGCGCGTCAGTCGTACATTACAAGGGAAGGCGCGCATTAACATTTTTACATTTGCTTTGCATCTCTCCCGACGTTCCTATAAACCCAAAAAGGAACAGTTCCGAACGGTAATACTTTCCGGCACATTGACTCGAGAGTAATTAAATAGCGGAGAAAGAACTCGAACTGTACATTGAAAAATTGAGGAAAAATTTGTCACCCTCAAAGATTGTTCGTTCGCATTGAGTTGCTAAAGTTTCCACTGGAAACTTTTTGTCAACTCACAGTGGACTTTCTTGAACACTCTTCAATAACTTCGATGGGAGAGATATTATCGACGATTCATTATTATTAATGCTACTATTATTTACAGTAAACTCATATTATCAAGAACTACGTAGGTACTTGAACTTTACAAATTGTTAGTTCTTGACAGGAAATTTCCTTTCAAGTCACTTGCACCGGGTTATTTACTTTTCAACTGTAATATGTGTTATTTACGTAGCATGAAGTAAAATTGATGAAGCAATTACTGTAATAAGTGCTTATACGGCGGCCTCTGAACTGTCGTGGACTTTTCAGTCACAATATTTTATCAATTGCTTACAAACTAAGATGTTAGGCGTGAAATTCGAATCCCTACTATATAATATCGGAAATCAATAGGTCCATCTAGACCGAGTTTAAGTATATGAGTTTGAAAGTGGCCAAATCCTTGGGTGATGAATGCATCCCGGTCCGCGACCCCGCGGCCGCCCATCATCCGTCACAAGCTATCGCACGTCTCGACCGACGTAAAAATGTTCCCCCCACTAACACTTGATTAATGTTTGAAAAAAGCCCTTAATTGGCCTACACCCGAACATTTCATTTAACTTCGCTCCCATAACAGCTGGTTAGGCGGAGGGATCCACCCGATTTTTACCCTATTATTACAGGTTAAGACTTTATTTTTAGCGTTCGTTATTTCATTTAAAATTATGTTGATTATTTGTGGTGAGATTCTATACATCTGTTGCTGAATCACGAACATCGAGTTCCCTTTTATTGAATCCGCATAACAAATAGTTTATAGTTTATCGCTATGTTGGACAGCCGGCATTATTAATTAGTTTAAACGCAAAGGTCAATAAATTGAAACCTTTGTACCATTGTTTCTGAAACCTAATCCAGAATACAAGTAAACGTCTACTCATGTAGTAAGTAGATAATGTAATATTTGTTTTGTTTCAGAATGTATTAGGTATGCTCAAATGGAAATATAAATTGTGACAACCGTTCATATTTTTGTAGACTCTATTTTCCATGTAAATCCTGTGTGAATCTGTGATCAGTCAAATCTTGTTTGCTAAACTGCCAATCTCATTGTAAGTCAACACAATTTGAGAGTGAGATACCGATCAAAATAATAACACACTGTATGTGAAAAACATGTTTCAATACAGCTCAAATATGTATAAAGAATTTTTAACGTTAGGTTCTATTGATAATTCTTAAAAAACGAAAAAGAAAACTTATTTTTTTTTATAAATTAGCTGGAACTAAATAAATCGTTCGATCTAAATGTAAACTAACATTTCAATGAACCAGCTGAGTCTACGATTTTATGAAACAGCTTTCAGTTCAGTTTATTTCATATAATAAAAATTGTTCGTTAAACATTCACCACACACCAATTTGTAAAATTGCGAGGACGCTGCCGTCAAAATGAGGTTATTTGTAGGCTTTAGTATCGGGTGAAATGGATGCTCGGCTAATCGGGGTAAATTGTAAATAAACAGTTTCGGGTTTTTCAAAGCTCTGCCGTAATCATTGTGCGGCTGCTGTGAAGCTGTAATAATTAGTTTATTCTTAATTTATTACCAAAGTTAATGCCCTAGAGGTTTCCGTCACTCCGACTGTTGTACTTAACTTTAATAAAATGCCGCAGTCGACTTTAAAATCTTAAAGTTGTGAAGTTTTTATTGTAAATAAAGAAAATTTTCTCAGTTATGCATGGTATTATAATTTGCTTTTTATTATCTAAGAGAGTAGTGACAGAGATTTTAAATAAGTTTGTCATCAAGTTGGAAGTTTAAGAGTGGAGAGCTATGCTTCGGCACGAATGGGTTGGCTCGACCGGAGTGATACCACGGCCTTACAGAAAACCGCCGTGAAACAACCACATCAGCGTGTTTCGCCGTGTGAGTGAGGTTACCGGATGCCTAATCTTTCTCATTTACCTAGACGTTTCACAGTTGGCATAAAACACTTATCTACTATTCTAAAATAAAATCGAAAACGAATACTTCACCATATAGCTGTCAAACACAGATATTATTAAAAGAAGAAAGTATCTAATTACACCTAAGACTTCAAATACAAATGAGGCTTCTTTTTACTTGATTGCTTTTCCATCGTTAGTAAAGCATGCTTGAAAGCGTTGTACGTATAATATCCTTAATGGGGACATGCCCTTTGCATTTTTATTCATGTTTGAGGGGTGAACTTGCAGCCCTTGATGGGTCTGGCGAAGGTCATAGGGATTTTGACCGTGACCTCCAGCTTACTGGTATTAAACACGCTGAGGGAGGTCCTCCCTCCTACCAATATGCAAAGAAAAGTGAATACAGGGAATAAAGATAATGAATTGCCACGATGCTGAGAAATAGCGGAATTAAGGCGTAGCTTGTATGCATAAGTAAACGACGAGGGTTTGCGTATTTTTCAAACGTTTCTTTTTTTTTGTTATGTGATAAGTCGGCAAACGAGCAGACGGATGACCCGATGGTAAGCAGTTGGCGCCATTCATGGACGCTCGAAACTCCTTTTAGGGATTTGAGGTTTTGGCGATTTAGGGATAGGAGACGGATGAAGAAAGGGGAAGGATTGATTTTGATCACTCGTCTGGTTTCTTTTATATGGGACGAGTTAATGTTTTAAATTGATTTCATTTTGTAACCTTATGTTAAAAAGACTTTGTTGAAACCTCATGACTATTCTAAGATACATTATTCAAATGTTTTCAACTCTCAATGCCTTCAAGTACATCTGTCACCAGTCAACAATATTTACAAAAAGATTTTTCTCTTTGCGTGGTCCCAGTAAAGCTTTAAAAGCAATATTAATGCGCTCAGCAATCAAACTGCATAGAGTATGAGGGCGTGAACTAGGTTACCGCCAAAATAGAGACCTAGATTAAAAACTCAAACGTTTTTGGCTATGGCGATGTTAAAAATAGAAACAGACTTGATTAATGTGAAGGTTGAAGAATTGAAAGTTTTTGTTAAGGTAAATTGGGCTTTTTGCTAAAAGTACTCAAGGTTTATAATGGGTTGTACGAATGAATGGTGCAAGTTTGGAACATTAATATAGAAATACGTGTACCGCACCTTAGAGGGCTGAAGATAGAATTCAATATTTCATAAATATAGGTACGTACCTAGATAGATTTATGACGTCATAAAGTGATAGTACCTATGCGAAATTGATAATAATATGCGCATTTAATATTAATATGCGATTGGCCATAGTATTTCCATAGTTATCATCTACCATAGCCACCTACAACCATAACTACATAATTTTCTACCATATTGCACAATAGTTCTTCTTTAGTTCCTGATGTTCCATCTCTCTAATATTTTAGTTATAAGGGCCTCTGCGAGTTGGCTTTAGCCTCTAGTACGCTTTCCAAAGGTCCAGGACCCAGGGGTCCCGTCAATAGAAGTGAACGTACAATATGTGATTCGAAAAATGTTTTTGACCTAAAATTGTATGTCGTAAGTTTTTTAAATGTAGGTTGTATTAGAAGGAATTTATATTACTTTTTGTTATTTCCAGGTTGTGTACGATGATGGTGTCGCGCGGTGTGGCGGCCTGCGCTCGCGGTTGTACGCTGAAGTGAATCAGACGGCAGTACAATGATACCTGCGCACGCGCACCCCTGTCTACTCCTGCTGCTGGCGATGTTTCTCGCTAGAGGTTAGTGGATATAATTTTATTTACGCAATACGATAATTTCCAATTAGTAAAATTCAATTCTTTTACCCAAATGTCAAAAACGATACTTTTCTGTGAAATTTGTATGAAAAACTGAGCTATGACGTCATTGTATTTTTGCGTCAAATTGCTTACTTATTTCTTAATAATTAGCTAACAAATATCTAAAACTTAGTGTATTGATTGATCGATAAATAAAAGTGTAGTTATTTTTCAACATTTTATTGTATTGGAACGTCGAATTAATTTATTTTTGACCTAGGAAACTACCCAATTATAATAAACTCGAATCGAATCGAAGGATATCCTATCCAACCTTTAACGATTGTATATTACAGTTAAACTAAAACTGAAATCAAAAATGAACATTTAATTTAACAATGATTGCCTATTAATAAAATCCCCTCCCTCAATCCCTAAATCTGCAAATCCCTAATCCGGCAACGCACTCGTAACACCTCTGTTGTTGCGCGTTTCAGGGGCGGCGCTGATTGCTTACCATCAGGTAATCCGCCAGCTCGTTTGACGACATATCACATTAAAAAATAATAACAACGGCTAATACTGAAAGAGAGATTTCAAACCTAGTCCTATAACAATGGAACATAAAATAGTTTTCATACTTGAACATAAGTATTTATTATACAAACCAAATCTACTCGTATATCCTTGAAAGCCTATAAAGTAATAAGCACCTAGTCGCTTCATGCTTATTAGGCCAGACTTTAATTTTACCTTTAAGCTACAAAGATTTTTATTGCCATTCAAACACGTGATACAAATTTGTAGTTAATAGATGCTTTAAGGAATGCAATTTTTGTAACTTTATCGGTATTAATCACGCAACATGTGAATGGAGATATCATATTACAAATGATTTGTAAAAGGAATAAATTGGTGAATTGACTGGTCGTAGAGCTTGAGGGTTTGAAGCTAGAGAGAGATGGTTAGGCTCCTTACTGATAAACACCAACCCATTTCTTCTTCCAGGCCAATAAAAGTCCAATTTATTTTAAGATTCTTATTTATATTTAATACTAGCTTTTGCCCGTGATTCCGTTCGCGTGGAATAGTTACTTCCTGCAGATTTTTGGTCTAAAAACCATTCTATGTCCTTTCTCGAGTTCTAAACTAGGTCTGTACCAAATTTCACAGAAATCGGTCCAGTAGTTTAGGCTTGAAGAAAAGAAGACAGACAGACAGAGTTAATATTATATACTTTGGATTTGGATTTGGATTATTTTGTAATAAATTATGATATTTGATGCAAAAGATCAAGACGCACATAATTCCTAGAAAACTAAAGTCGAATTTGACAGTAGGTAAAAAGTATGGTCTGCAATTATTTACAAGTATCCAAATCAAGGAAGGAGTATTTAAGTTCTTTATGTATTAGTATATAAAGATCTTGAATATTATAATCCCACTTACAACGACCCAATTAAAAATATAGTATAAGTACGAGTATTATTCCAGTGGCAACAAACTTTCATACTAGACCTTACTACTGAATGTTAAAAGTCAGAACTTATTGTTGGCACAGTGACATCTGAAGTTCATTGAATATTCATACAACAAGTTCAATTTAGCAGTAGGAAGGTACTCACTTAATTAGATAGGTACTCAGTAAAGCACACGTACAGAAGTGAGATAGTCACGCCACCTAGTGCTATGTAAATATAAACAAATTAGCTTCGCCTAATGGCGCCCCGATCGCTTTTCGCGTCGGTTTTGCTTAGCGTAATTTTCTAAGCAACTTCCTTTGTGTGCTCAATGCAGAATTAAGGACGAGCGTGCACGTTAGATAGAACGCGTTACATGCAACGTGAGAGAGAAAACTCTGGAGTTGTGCATGTCTTTTTTTGTTTAGGGGGGAAAATGTTCAAAGGATTTCTCACATTCAGAGTGGGGTTACCTGTAGCGCCAGACTCTTACTGACCACAAACGACCTTATTCCTTCTCCTGCTCCGATTCAGGGTCGCGGTACATTATGGCGCTTGTACATGTACCTACATCTGATGATCCTGAACATCAATCCTAGTGGTCCCTAGAACCCTGTGACTTATTGAGATTCAGTTAAATTGTTAGACGCAAAGTGCAGATTCTTATGTATTACAAATTACTTTGTTGTTATAACAATTTTCCCAAAACATTAGTCCAACAGCCTTAAAACCGTCAAAATGTTCACCACAATCTTACTACCGATGAGCAGTTAAAACTGTTTTCATAATAGTTTTAAGTTAGCTCTAAATACAAGCTATGATGCAGTAAGCTGTGTGCGGGGAAAATCTGTCCCCGCAGCGACTTTGGGTCATTGATCGCTCGTAATGTAATTAGCAGAATGAAGGACGACACAGAAATGCACTTTACGCCGCCACTCCCACAATAAGAAATCACACCATTATATATTTTTTCTCATTTTTCCGCTTGCACAGACAAAATATCTACTGACTTTGCTTTTATTGAAATTACCCTCTTCGTCGCGGGAAGAACGAATTAAAATCGCATTAGGAAATCCCGTTTCCGCCTAACTTTTCCAGTCTGTGCACAGAGTCCCGGTGTATCGGAATAAATGGCCCAAACTTCGTTTATTTATATAGTCTTGCTGAATATTTATGTTTTCGTTCCTAATTTTGCATTCCCGTCACTTCAAATACAAGTTTACCGAACTGAGAAAAACTCGGCTTCGTATTTCAAGAAAAATATACTTTCAAACTTTATTTGAATATTGTTTGTGTCTGTGTTCGATGTGTTTACTGTAAAATTACTGTTTTATACGGTAAGTACAGCGAGAGGTACACGACGCAAATACTGAATCATTGAGAAACCGCAATCAAAGGATAACGTTTATAGAATTGTTTCTTTTCGAAGACTTATCGTTCAGGATAACCGTCTTATATCTGTGTCTCATAAATATTAAACTAGGAATTCCTTTTATCCAAACATTCAGAGCAAAATTGTTTGCGAATTATTCACGGAAGTGCTACGTAACGTGATCGATAACAACCGAATACCGGCAACACTAACGTCAACCGACGTGTTGGTCGGAACAGCTTTAGCCGCAGTAAAAACTGTTTACCTTCGAAGACTTGTTATTCCTCCAGTAAACCTACTTGTAAGAACAAGAATTTAGTAGCTGCCTAATGTGTCCCAAGTTGGTTAATATGAAAAATGCGAATGGAGTCACGCCTGTTCGTTGTTGCGCACCCAAATAGGATAATCGCGTAGTTATTGCCCATGTCGGAATAGACACTAGCCACGCCAACCGCTCGTTTATTTACATGCTATAATCCATGCCATAATTCTGTTATGTGGAAATGTCTTACTGTGTCGGCGCGACGGCGGCGATGATCGATGTGCGCCGCTCGCGCTCTATTCAATGATTGCTTTTCATAACGAACGCCAAACACATTATTTACATTCAGACGGTGTCTGAACTTACCTTCTGTACACAAAGTCGTGCAATCAAATCAAATATTATTGTACAAAGAGTTTACTTATTATCTCCAAGTTTTCCTAAACAGAAACAAAGCCTTTTGAAATACAATCTCCGTCAGTTGAACAATGGCTCGGATCTGTAATATTATCTGTGCATTGTTATCACGAATGTTTTTCGGCATCGTATTTCCAAATGGTGTTTCTCTTATTCTCGGCCATTAGTACAAATATATGATAATTGGTGCAATCATAGCGAGCGCGTAATTAATAAGGCGCGCCGCCATAAACAGAATATAAAAATGTGTTTTTGTTTGTTTGTGTTTTTGCTTTTTTTGGCATCATGATGTTGTTTACAGTTTATATTTTATAAAATGTAATAGCAGCGTCTCGTAAAAGACGGTATTTCATCTAGAATGCGGCAGATGGCGTCAAGGTCTAATATTTTACGGTGGGTTCCGCTTTGTTGTTGAGTCGTCGCGAAGCCAAGTGCCCATAACATGCACAAGCAAGGTATAGCCGACGTGCGACGATACTCATAAGAGCGGAGACGTTTGACGCCAACCGTTATTCACACAACCTTCATCCAATACGTAACTAAAGCAAATTATGACACCGAGTTGCTATATCGTAAACTATGATAATATTCTGGTAATATTGACTACGGAAAGCCTAGAAACTTCTATTGAAGTAATTAATAATCTTTAATTGATAAATAAATATCTATAATTAGATTGCACGGTTGACGCAGTGGCCGGGCAACTGGCTGCTTGCACCGTGGAAATTCCCGCACGGCACAACTCTTTGTGTGATCCACAAATTGTTGTTTCGGGGCTGGGTGTGATGTGTATGTGAGTTGTTTGTAAACGCAACCATGACACAGGAGAAAATCCTAGAGTGGGCCAACGTTAAAAAAAAAATAATTAGGCTTTTATGAGTTGTAAAACATCATACCCCACATAAAGGTTAGTAAATATTTTTTTTTAAATGTCATTTTTAGTATATTCCAATTGTATGATCGGTTAAATCAAACAGACACAACATGATATAGTTAGTTACTGTAAGTCAGTTATCTATCGTAAGAGATAAGCAAATTTCCAGACATGTCTAGATTCTAGATCTAAATACAAGCTTGAGATTGCTAAGCAAATGTATCGATATAAATGCATGACTCATTTCTCAATAGAATATCTTAGATGTTTCTTTTTTAATATAGAAGATAAATATCTTTAATTTGCTATAGGTACATAAAATATTACGCAAGTCTGTTCTCGTAAAGGGACTTAGAGAATCAAAAAAGAGATTTTACTCAATAATAAGCCTTTGGAATTTGTACAAAATTAACGACTTACACTTTATTAATAGAAGTTTTATTTGTTTGAATAAAATTAATATTGAGGGTTATGTTAAAAGTACCCAGTGATTAAAAAAAAATGAATAAAAAAAAATTGATACGCTCTGTAAGAATAGTTGTTTGGACCTGAGGCATATGAAGCGCCGCCTAGCGGCAGAAAAAGTATCGAAAACCCTCGTTCGTTATTTGATTT